CCAAATTCTGTCTTAGTTACTTTATGCTTGTTGCTGAGACAAAATACCTGATGCCCAAGTTGTGAAAAAAGGTTTATTTCTTGCAGTTTTTGGAGGTTTCAGTCCACACTCAGTTGGCTCCCAGGTGGTGGGCATGGCTGGGCCACCTTTCATGGCGGCTGCAAACAGCAAACAGGAACCAGCAAAGAGCAAGACACACCTTCTTCCTGCCATTACATCATATCCTGGCTCCTCCCCTATGTGGATGGAGTACTGACACCATCAATCCATGCACTAGACAATGAACCATCACAAATGCACAATGCAAACTCATTAGGCCTGGGGGACACAGACATAAACCATGACAAACCATCCCTGTATTCCTGGAATGAATCCCACTTGGTCATGATGTATAATCTTCTTGATGATTTGCTGCATTGTATGGACCAGTATTTTGTTGAGAATCTTTGCATCAGTGTTCATTAGTGAGACTGGCATATAGTTCTTTTTGGTTGGGTCTTTCTCTGGTTTTGGTATCAGAGTAATACTTGCCTCCAGGAATGACTTAGGGAGGATTGCTTCCTTTTCAATTTCATTGAAGACTTTAAGGAGTATCACATCTTCTCTAAATTTCTTGTAGAATTCAGCCATGAATCCATCAGGACCTGGGCTTTTCTTTGTTGGTAAGTTTCTAATTTCAATAGCTGATATGGATTATTCAAAATTGCTATATCTTCTTGGTTGAACTTTGGTATTTCATATGTTTCTAGAAATATGTCCTTTTGCTATGTGTTTTCCACTCTGTGAGTAGAGATTTTCAAAGTAGATATTCATGATCTTTTGAATTTCCATGGGATCTAAGGTAATTGCCCTCTTTTCAGTCCTTATTGCATGAGTTTTTTTTTTTTTTGCTTCTTTTTCTAGATAAGATTAGCTAGAGGTTTGTTAATTTTGTTTATTCTCTCAAAAACCAGCTTTTTGACTAATTAATTATTTGTTTTTTTTTTTTAGGTTCAATTGCATTGATTACTGCTCTAATCTTTTTTTTATACTTTTTAAAAATTCTTTAAAAAAATTTTTTTTTATCGGTACCGGGGATTGAACTCACGACCACCTGCTTGCAAGGCAGGTGCTTATGCTGCTGAGCTAAATCCCCAGCCACTGCTCTAATCTTTATACAATTTCCTCTCTTCTATGAACTTTGGGTTTAACTTTCTCTTGTTTTTCTAGAAGCTTGAGATGAAGAATTAGGTTGTTTATTTGTGCTCATCCTGTTTTCTTGATAGGACAATTTATTGCTATAAATTTCCCTCTTAAGACTGCTTTCATTGCATCCCATGGATTACAGTATGTTGTTTCTGAATTTTCATTGAACTATAGGTATTGATTCATTTCTTCTTTAATTTCATCTGTAGCCCACTGGTTGTTCAGAAGGTTGTTATTTAATTTCCATGTATTTATGCAGGTTTTGAAATTTCTTTTGCCATTAATTTCCAATTTCAGTGTGCTATGGTCAGATATTACACATAGGATAATTTCAATATCTTTGCATTTACTTAGGAATGTTTTATGAAATAATATATGGTCTATTTTGGAGAATGCCCCATGCACAACTGTGAAGAATGTGTATTCTGATGTGACTGGGTGGAACACTGTAAACATCTACTTAGTCCAATTGTTCACAGGTGTGATTCAGTTCTATTATTTCTTTGCTGACTTTTTGTCTAGTTGACCTATCTCTTTGTGACAATGGGGTGTTAATATCCCCTGTTATGATTATGTTCTTGTGTATTTGGTTTTTCATATCCATTAGTATTTGTCTATACAGGTGAGTGCTCCTGTATTTGGTGCATATATATTTATAACTGTTAGTTCTTCCTCTTGAATTTTTCCACTAACAAGTATGTAGTAACCTTCTTTAGCTCTTTTAACCATTTTAGGTTTGAAGTTCACATTTTCTGCAAATAGAATAGTTACCCTTGCTTTTTTCTGGGTTCCTGTTGCATGGAATATTATTTTCCATCCTTTGATTTAAAAGTCAAGTTTCCTTTAGGATCAGATGTGTTTCTTGTATACAGCATATTGTGGGATCCTGTTTTTTGATCCATTCTGTCAACCTATTTCTTTTGATAGGTGAATTGAGGCCATTTACATTTTATGGATATCACTGATATGTATCTGCTCAACTTTGCCATGTTATGTTTCAGTTGTTTGTTTTCTGCTTTTCCCCCTTGTTTAATTGCTTGCCCTACCTGGTGGTTTCTTTCTGTTGTTCTGGAGATTGTGGTCATATATATCTCTATGTAGTATGTCTTTCAATACTCTTTCTAGGGTTGGTTTGGTGGACATGAATTTCTTCAGTTGTTCTTTGTGATGGAAGTATCTTGTTTCTCCATTAAATTTGAATGGAAGTTTTTCTAGGTACATCCGTCTGGGTTGAAAGTTGATTTCTTTCAGGGCTTGACATACCTCACTCCAAGCTTGTCTTGACTTGAGGATTTGTGCTGAAAAGTCTGCTGTGATTCTGATGGGCTTTCCTTGATAGGGGAGTTATGTCTTTTCTCTAACAGCTTTTAGTATTCTTTTTTTATACTGTATGTCTGGGATCTTAATTATTATATGTCTGGGTGCAGATTTATTTTGGTTCTGACTGTTTGGCATTCTATATGCCTCACTTATCTGCATATCAGGTTTTTCCCCCATGTTTGACAAATTTTTTGCTATTAGTTCTGTGAATATTTTAGTTATGTCATTTGCATCAACTCCTGCATCTTCACTGATGCCTATTAATCTTATATTGTTTCTCTTGGCATCATCTTGAAGCTGGTAGATTGTCATTTTATGCTACTTTGTTATTTTTTAAAAGTTCTGTCCTTTCATGATCACTAATTGTGATCCTGTCCTTGGGGTCTGAAATCCTATCCTCAGCTTCATTTAAACAGTTTTGCCAACTTTCAATAGAATTTTTTGTTTCTTGGGTGTCTCTTTGAGTTTGTTTCAGGAATTCTACTTGTTTTCTACAGTGTTCATTCAAGTTTTCAATCAGTTTCCCATGGTCCTGTACATTTTTTAAATCTATTTCTTCTTTAGCTGTGCTGAGCAACTTCTTTACTAAGGTTGTTATTTCTGTCTTTAAATGAGAGGTTAGTTCTAATTTGATTTCCTCTATAGCTTCATGAAGTTGTCTTTTATTCCACTTGCTATATTTTCAGAGATTTCTGGTGTGTTACTTTTGAAGTCCTCTATTTCAGTGTCTCCTGTACTTGCTCCTGGTCGACTAGATATTTGAGATTGCACTTTGCTTTTTTTGTTTTGCTATTTTCCCCTTTTGGGTTAATATTTGGTCCTTTGGTCCCACTAGTGTCAACTGTTGGTAGTGTGTATTTTGGGTCCTATGGTAAGGTTGATGTTTGTCCAATTGCTGGGTCCCACAATGAAGAGGTGGGATAATCACCTGACTTCTCCCTGCCAGGCCTGTTGCGTGAGTCCTATATTCTCCCTACACTGACAAGCCTAGTAGTATTGATGTAGGTCAACTTTTAGTTCCTGCTGTTACTTTATCTTCACATTATTCCAGGTCATAAATCTCCCTGTCCATAGTGTTTGTGTTGGCTGAAGCACTGCTGTGTCCTTATTGAGGCCTGTGTGTCCCACAAGCCTTTTTGATTTTCTCTAAGTTGGGGGAGTCCTTATTGGTATACTCCTCACTCTGCCTGATGTTCCTTGTGTGCAGGAAGGAGTCACCCACACTCTTGCCAGACTCACCAAAGTCTTACAGGTAGTTGGAGGGAGCTTTACTACTGGCCCTATTTACTCACCTCTACTTTAGGGGCATACTCACCACACTGACTGGAGCCTGCTGAGATCCTCTGTTTGGGTAAGACAGTTACTGAATCTCCCATAAAGCTAGCATGGTTAATCTGCTGTAGTCCAAGGTTCTGGGAGAAAGGGTGGGAGCTGAAGATCAACAGTAGTATTAGGTCCAGGAGGTAGGGTGTGTCCCTGAGGGGCCAGCAGGTGTCCTGGGTCTGGGCATCTGCTTGGCATGAGGGAAGCATGGCACGGAGGCCTAGGTGGTCCTGGGCCAAGGGCAGGCCTGTGGCATCAGTCCAGGCATCTGTAGGACACATTGGAAACACGGTGCAGTGGCGTATGCATTCCTGGACCAATGGTGGGGGGGCACTGGCATCAGTATAACCATCCATGGGGCATACATGGTCCTACACTGAGAGGCAAGCCGGTGGCATCTGTCTGGGAATCTGAGGGGCACATACGAAGCATGGTGGGATGGCCTCTGTGGCCCTAGGCTGAAGGGTAAGCTGGTGGTGTCAGTCTAGGCATCCGTAGGGTGCTATCTTGCTTTGAAGTCCTATGTTGCTTTCACGGTTTTTTCTGAGTGGCTTCATTCTGTTTCATCCTGTTTGGTCCTATTTTATTTAGTGAAGTTGTAACTTCAACTGATTGTTGAAGTTGTAGGAAGAATGTCAGGAGAAGCACAGGAGCATATAGTGATTGGAGCCTGCTGAGGTCTTTTATATGGGTGAGAGGTCACTGAATCTCCCTTCAACTCAGCATGGTTAATCCACTTCAGTTCAAGGTCCTGGGAGGAGGAGTGGGAGCTGAAGATCAAGTACTTGGTCTAGGACATGGGGAGGGTTGCCCAGGCAGCGACCTTAGACGTGGCGTTCCTCCAGGCTGGCAGGGGTCGCAAAGGAAGCCCTAAAGTGTGGGTGCAAGGTCCAAGGTCCGAGGGCAGCATGACCTTCCTCAGGATAACTTTATCTTTCTTTTCATACTTTAAAAAGATTCTTATGTTGGCCAGTATTTGAAAACTGTTTTCTTTTTCTTCCTTCTGGTTTTTGATACAGCATTTTAGGTATATGATGCACTAGAAGATGCACTAGTAAGGAATGAAAAAAGTGTTTAATCTAGAACATACCTATTAAGTATTTATGTTGTGAGAAAGACATTTTAAAATCTGTGATGTTGCTATTCTTCTGAACTTCCTCCTCTAAACCTAGATCAGAAAAACAATGAAGACTTCAAAAATATCTAAAGAACAAATGCTAATGAAACAGCACAAACAAGTGTGGTGGCAGGAACACCAGCGGCTAAATGAACTCAGGTAAGAGGAGGGGGAGTCTCCTTAGGAACATGTAGAAATCACTAGGCTTTGGACTTAACTGTGGAATGCTTTATAATGTTCTTGTTAATTAAATAATTACAATCAAAATGTAAGACTATGGTTTGAATTTGAGTCAAATTTAAATCTTTTCATTGCCTCAGTTTAATCTAGTATCTGTAAGGCCAAAATATCATCACTTGTTTGTCTGTACACCCCTCTCATACTTGGATTTACTTCCAAGTTTGGCATATTTTATAATGGGAAGACAAATATGTGATCAAAATATAATGCGACATGCGAAGGATAATAGAAATGAATCTATATGGTAATTTCTCAGCATCCAACATGCTATCATATTCATCTTCATATGACGGAAACACATTAGGAAGTATGTACACAATTGCAGTATGTGGATGAATAAATTGAACTAAGGTGTTTTAAGTTGTTCCATAGTTTTCTTAATGTAGTTGCATCGTAACATTCAATTTTGATTTTTTACTTTTGTTATTTCTAGCAGCCACTTAAAACTGAATTAAAACAAAATAATTTTATATTCAATCTTAATTGTGGCCTTTAAATATAAATTTCTTTTCAAAAGCCATGATAAAAAGAGAAGACAGATGTGTTGCTCATCTTTTATAAAGATATGATATATAATATCTTGATATATATATACACATATGTAAAGCTTTAGTGATCCTGTTACTTATAAAATATGCTTTTGAATGTGTATTGCTAATCATTTATTTTATGCCAAAGCAGATAATTTATGTTATCAGATTCTAAATCAAATTTCTAAATATCCTTAGTTTTATTTTTTACTTTAGGTATTTTTCACATTAATAGGTATGCCTTGTTCTAAGTGATTTCCATATGTGAGGTAAAAGACTCAGCTGGCAAGGGTTTTATATTCTAGAATAACTCAAAACAAAATTATGTAGACTTTATCACCATACTTCTGCTATAAAAAAAAAAAAACAAAGACAGACCCATGTTACTCTTCAAAAAGTCACCTTTATGAAAAGAAAATGTTTGAGCATGTTGGATTTTTAAAAAATTTGCATAACTTGAAATATGGAAAAAAGCAAGCCATTAGAAACCTTTAATTATAATGTTCACTGATGCAAGCTCAAGTGTAAAAGATGATGCTGGGAAAAGGTTTTGTTTTCCTTTAATCTTAACTGTCTTGTTTCTCCTTAATTTGTGCATTAAGTTGTCTGTGAACTGGACAGAGGAAGTGTATATATAGCATTATGGCAAATAATTCTGTGGGATGATTGGAATGATATGAAGTCAATGGAAATGAAGGATACTCTAGTAATGATGACTTTCATGTCTTGAAACATTTCATGGCTGAAAATTGGACAAAAAGAAGAAGTCCAAGATAACTTGCTGTGCTATTCCAGAATGTAGGCTAATTTTATTATACATTCAGTGAAATTAAAAACTAAAATCTATACCCACTCCAAATAAGGAAGAAAACTGCATTTGAGAATCTTAGCGCTACAGAAGATAAGTGCCTGCAATGATGTCTAACTTTGGTTGGGTAATTTAGTTTGTGTGGGTAATATGTTAAGTACTTTGCAGTGACCCTGCAGTATAGGTATGTATAATTGCTATCCCAGCTTTACAAATGAGGCTTAAATCTCAGAAGATTAAGGTTTGTTGCTGAATGTAAACAAACAACTTTGTGTGGAGCTGTGATTGAGGCATTTGCACCTTTCTCTCTTGCTCTATGACCTTGGAGTTGGGCAGTTTTTTTCCCCACAGAATGCCATTTATATCAATAAGATCTACTCTTGTTAGTCAAGTGTGTGTGTGTGTGTGTGTGTGTGTGTGTGTGTGTGTGTGAGGCAAACTTTAATTCTTTGAAAAAATCAATAAAATTTCCAAATTTAAAATTATATTTAATATTTACATTTAAAATTTTTGTTTAGAATTTAATAGGCTTACTTAAACTACATCCTGCGAGGACTTTATATACTTTCCCAAGGGTAGCTACTCCTTTCTTGCATTCTGATAATTGTGGTACCACAAAGAGCCCTGAAGTTTTATATGTTTGTTTTTGTTTTTTCCTTTGCTGATACCAGGACTTTCTTTTGGTAGTACCAGGACCTTCTCACTGAGCTGCATCTCCAGCCCCGCCTTTTTTTCTTTTAATTTTAGGAGATAGTCTTGATGAGTTGCTAACTTGACCAAAGTGGTCTCCAACTTGCAGTTCTCTTGTCCTGGCCATCACAGTGCAAAGGCTACGGTATATGGGCTACATACCCAAGTGTGCATATTATACTGATCTATGTATATGATGACCTGGAGACAAATCGGCCTATTGAATGTCCTCAGTAGTCTACTTTAAGTCCAGGTTCTTATCCTGCTAGGATAGTGCCAAATTTCTTTGTGGAGAATCAGTCTCCTCTGAACACAAAACGTACCCACAGCTTTTCTTTTTTTCAGTTTATATCCTCTACTAGGGTTTTGTGAGTGCTGAAAATATAAGGGAGCTGAAGTGGGTTTTAAGTGCTACGTTTTTGGTTAAATGACTCTGTTCTGAAATAAATTCTTCTTTGACTTCATGTGTAGCAATTTAAAAGGTGATTTTAAAAATATTTCTGACAAAACTATCTGCTAGAAAAATAGATGGTGAAGTATCATTTACAATAGCAATCCTCCTTTACAAATACAAATCCCTTACCTGTGTAAGTAAATGGACTGAGATGATGATGGCCTACATAACAATGAAATACAATACAGCCATTTAGATTTAGACTATTTAGATATCTAAAAAATCAATGTTAAGAAAAAAATGCTCCACAATAGAGAACGATAAGTATTAGTGTATATGACAACTGTATGCATGTAGTTAAGGCTAGAAAATTGTTGGCATAAATGAAACTAATCATTATACTGAAGTATTTTAATTGTGGCCATTTTCTTATTTTATACAACTTTAATATTTCACTTTAATAATCAAAATAAAGTGAACTCTTCTCTGTGATTTAATTGACTGCCATAAGGGAGAGATAAAACACACTTTAAAAGAATTTTTTTTTGGTACCAGAAATCAAACTGAGGAGCTCACACTTGCCAGGCAAGCACTGTGCTACTGAGTTGTAACCCTGGCATATTTTTGGATTCCTGTTTTAAGAGTCAGTTAGGATTCACTCTAAAAATTGGCTTTTTTTAAAACTATATTTTAAATATAAAGATTTATTACTATTCCTAGTACACAAAAACAAAATATACTGGTACTGTCATTTACCTGGTTTGTAATCTCATTTCTTTTTTTAAGCTGTTGTTTTTACCAGTATGTTTTTTATAACAAACATGTATACATGACAATTATATTCAACTTGTGGAACAGTTACATACACATATTGAATTTGAATCATTTTTACCTCGTCTTCCCCTCCCTTCCCTGTTGCCTCCCCACAGTGCAGGCCCCCTTCCTATCTCTGCAAAGGAAATTTCAAAGTGGTCTCCTTATCATGGGTCCATGTTTGTGCAGTTTCTTCCTCTTTCTTTTCCTCTTCTATTGCTCCCCCACCTTCCGGTCCTCTTTTATCTTGCTGCCATGTATATCTGTCTACTACATAGATCCGAGCAGGTGAGGACACCTTGATACTCTTCAGCTGCTTCCTGGGACCCTAGGTCCTCTTCACATGGATGGTGCCTGTGCCTTCTGTGTGCTGCCTCTGGTCATGCAATCACTTCAGCCCAGTTAGGGATTTTGTACATGGTCTAAATAAAAGAGCAAAACCATGTTACAGTGAACATTCTTTCTTTCTTTTTTTTTATTGGTACCAGGGATCAAACTCACAGCTGCCTGCTTGCAAGGCGGGTGCTTATGCCGCTGAGCTAAATCCCCAGCCCCCATACAGTGAATATTCCTACTGCCACTTATTTTTAAACCTGTGTGTATGATTGTAGTTATAAAAAGTTGATTGAGAACATGTCCATTTCAGATGTAAACTGGAATCTGAAATAAAATCTCTTATCAATGAAGAGCACATTGGAAATGAGTGTCTTTGCGACCTTAAGGATTTTGGTGAGATTTTTTTGATCCTATATCTAAAGGGGAATTTTGTTTTTGAGAATGAAAATGTGCCATTCACTTCATGTTCTCTTTAATATTAACGGCCATTTTCCGTTACAAATATCTACAAATATTTGTATTCTCAGTATCTGTTCCTTAAAAAATTTAAAACAATAATGTGTTGCTCTTTTTAATTTTGTTTCACCATAGAACAAGAGTTATCAGAACAATGGTGTACATATCTTAAAGAGGTGATAAGTCCTATTCATCAGCTAAGAACAGATCTAAAGTTCAGAGAGCATCACACTTTACAGTGTTCACACCGGCATATAGCATTTAACTCAGGCACAGTACTGGAAGAGGTCAGTATGTCACATTTTTTTGATAATGTCATATACTCTATTTTCATTACAATGAAAACAGTTTGAGATTTACAACAGTGTCTTGTGTATTTAAACACAGTCACTCAGTGTGTGTTTAAAAATGGTCACTTAGTACTTAAACACATGTCTGAATCTATCCAACCACCCGATTTCTCATAACTGGTCCCCCTGCCTGCTTCCTTGCCCCACCTCCCTGGGATCCTACCCCAGTGCAGGGCTTGGGGGCGGGGCGTCTTTCAGGTCATCCCAGTGCTAAAATCTCCCTGCCGCCTGTCGGCCCTTATGTTCACCTACCCATCCGACCCCTTTCTTGATGCTTCAGTTAGTTTTTTACCTGGAACTCTCTCTTTCTAGGAGAGCTGGGTACTTTTCCTAGAGCTAACCAGGCCACCTTTCTGTGCCTCCAACATGCCAGGCTTGCTTCTGTCTCAAAATCTTAGGCTGGCTATTTCTTCTGTCCAACTGATGACATTTTCTGTCATTTAGTTCCTGGCTTGAGTGTGCTTTCCTTTGAGAGGCCTGTTCTAGAAACCACAGTTAGTTCTTGTTGCAGCCTGTTTTTATATCACCTCCACCTCTTACTGCTTTCTCATGTATTTTTATTCATTCGTTTGTGGACTGCCTCCTATCAACAGAGCATGAGCTCTGTGACTTTAGTTGTGGTAGGTGCAGGAGCTTAAGTGATATTTGTTTTCTATTTCTCAGCTACTCTATGTTGCTTTCATACATCATGAATTTATAACGATGCCTGGCTGCTGACTAGAAATAAAGAATGTATGGGAAGGAAAGGAGAAACATTATTAAAGTAGAGAGAGTGTGCTAAGTTGTCCGCCTTGTCATGAAGAAATCCAAATGTATGTGCAGCATGGCTGTGACTGCACAGTGAGCCCCCTATTTGGCTCTGTGTCTGTAAAGGTTCGTTGAGGCTCATTTGTCTATAAGCTCTGCCTGACCAGCATTGCTTTTTAACTTTTTTTCACATGTCCCCAAAGAGATTTTTCCCTTTTCTTTTTTTTTATTTGATTTTTCCCTTTTCTATTTTTCACCACTTACTGAGTTTTGACAATAATTTTTGTCTTTAAGAATACATGTTGGACTAATTGCACTAATTTGCATACTCCTTGTTTCATGTGCCCTCGAGATTGACTTTGTGAAAAAACATTTGAAAGCCGTCTTTGAAAACCTCAACCGGGAGCAACAGAACATAGAAAATGATCTTTCAGACTGGCATGTGAAAGTAAGTGGGATGCAGCAAGGAATTTATTTACCAATTTGTCATTTACATTAAATAAAATAATTGTGTAATTTTCTTTTCAGATAATCAATTATTCTTTAGACGACAAAACTAACCTATTTAGTGAACTACCCACAGAATTAGAAACTTTGGAATGTCCATACCCTGAGTTGAAATCTTCAATCCTTAAAGAGTTCTGTAACTTTACAGAAAACTATCAGAAGAAACTTAATGATTTTGATCTACAGTTGCAAGACATATACAGGTAATAAGATAAAACTACTTGAATCCAGAAGATTTTTGACACTAAATTTAATTCAGGGTCACTATACTTCTGATTTACTTTTTCGTCATTAACTATGTGACTGGAATACAATCAATAAATGTTTACACAGAATATTTATTGAATGGAGAGAAATTTTTTCCAAAATAATTTCCTTGCATAATGGATTTTTAAAAATTCTTTTATTATTATTATTTCTTGAGGTGAGTTTCACTATGTAGTTCAAGGTGGCCTTGAACTCACTATGTAGAGAAGGCTGGCCTTAAACTCACAGCAATCCTCCTTCCTCAGCCTCCCATGGATAATAGTTTTTAAAGATTTTTCTGTAAGGTTAAAACATGATAAACATATCCCTCTTACTGGCCTTCTTTACTTCACAGGTAAGAACTATTTTAAAATATGGATTTTCAATTAACTACAAATATTTATCTTAATATATAAACCCTTCTAAGAGAGAATTTACAAGTCATCACTGACGGCAAGTAATTTTATGGAAAATGTACTCATGGAATTTAGTTATTTATAATCAATAGCAATTTTATCCTGTGGTGAACACAGAATATATTTCCAACTTTTTGAAAACTTTCTTTTGTAGAAGAAATTTTTCTTGAGAAAATTGGCTTTTGATTGTACCCTGAGAATGAAAGCCTCTTCTAAATGACAAAATGGTCAATGATTTAAAATTTAGTTTTGGCAGTGGTCATCTTCTGCAGTGTCTTCTATATTATAATTCACATAAATGACGACATATTATCCAGATATGCCACCTTGACTCAGATTCATGACCTGATTTAGATTTCTGCTTCTTGTTCCATGATACTTGTTTCAAAAATTTTCTCTAAAGTACTTATGTATGAAAAGAAGGGAAAATCACTAAAGGGATAGACTTATAGAAAATTAAAAGTTTATTAATTTTGAAATGGAAGACAAAGAGTATAACAAAATTTTTACGTCTTATATTTCTTATTAATTGGTGTGAATGCAACTCTTTCCTATGAAATTACTTGTATGAAGAAATATACAAGGAAAACCTTGAATCTATGGTACCAAGTAGATTTCTGTATTGATAGCTTCTAGATACAAACTCTTACATTACAGCTATTCATTACATTAGCACCTTGCTGATGACAGAGCCAATCAGAGGAGAAGTCAGGGCCATTCATGGCCTTAGCTTCCTCATGACATTTCTGGAGGATGTTCTCATGTTCCTCCAGTCAAGCATCTCTGGATTCTCTGAGAACCGCTCTGTCCCTACTTCTTGCCCTTACTTTCTTCTTTCTTACCTTGTGATAAAGCTAAGAAATAAGTTATCAATGTATCATGTACATTTGTTGCCTGACTATCTTGTAACTGGATCTCAGTTGCAGTTGAAGTATTAGCTCAACCATGCATTTAAATCTCAGATTTTAAAATGACTGTTGTCTTTCTGCTCCCACCCCAATCTTGTTAAAGAGATTCTAGAACCCATCAGGCATGGATTTTTGCTTGGTAGAGGGGGAGTTATCATAGTCAGACTGATTAGCTGTGGCTCTGAAGGAGATAAATTCTTTATTATTTCAAAAAAAGTTGCTGGGCCAAAATCTTTCTGCCCCCATGACCCCTTCTCCTCCAGAAAAACTGAATGTGCAGCATCTCTAGGTTTGCATCTCTTAAATATAGTGGAATTTGCCTTGGTAGCCTCAGGTCACTTCTTCCCAGTAAGAGCTCTTCCTCACCGTCCCCTTTCTTTATGCTGAACTCAATTTTCATTCTACCTTCATACAACCCTGCGCCTCTCCAACAAAAAGTTGGGATTATAACTAAATCAAAATTCCTGAAGAGAATTAGATGAACATACATGATGTGCTGATATTTCTGCAATGGGAAGAATGATTGACAATGAACTAGAAGGCCTTGATGGAGGAAGTAAAGTTAGCTATGAGTTTTGACAATAGATAGGTTAGCACAGGTAGTAAATGAGAAGGAAGAGCATTCTAAGAAAGAAGGTGAAATAATTAGACTATAAACTTTTTGAGGACAAAGTAATTTATTAGCTATGTCTGTGTCCTTAACACCTAATGCTTTGCATACATAGTGTGCTTTAAGTGAGTTGGATTGAGGGAGAAAACAATAAAGGAAAGAATGTTAAGCCATGTTACTGGGCAGTACAAATGTACTGTGGAGAAATATCAGGTTCACAAATTCTAGTTTAATAGTCTTTTTGCCAAATAATTATTCAGAATATATTTTATATAATTGGTGATGTGTCTTACTTGATGAATATTTATTGAAAAGTATATAGTGGGCTCTGCAAACCTGCTGATAGGAGATTCAACAGACAGATTAGTCTACATGTACCAACTCCCCATGATGAAATAACTGTTATGTGCTGATAATATGTAGTAATAAAAACTAGTCTCTGAAAAGGCTTGGCATGTTTGGGAGGAGAAACATATAAACGTGTACCCCAACTAAATAAAAGTCACATGTAAACTTTAGAAAATATTAATATGCTGGAAGTGAATAATGAAGCACTGATAAGAACTGAATTAATTTTCAGAAACAGTTCTCTCGAGATGAAATAGAATAAAAGGAATGTTTTGACAAAGATAGAGGTGGTGGGCATTCATTGGTAGTGTGTGACTGTAAAGAATACAAATATACTATCATCACTGGCAAAATAAAGTACATGTTCGATTGTAATATTCATCTTATAAGTTCTAGCTTACAGGGAAATTATTCTTGATATGTGGAAATTATTAAGACAAAGGATATGCAATATTTGTGGTTGGAAATGCTACCAAACTTCTCTATAGACATAAATTATTTAATAACAATATTTGAAAATGGGGAATTACTAGAGGTAGAGTATTGTGATCCTATATAAGTTGTGAATTCTAAGTAGCAGTTGTGCTAAATTAGGGATGTTTTTAGCTGTGAAGAACTAAAAATCTAAGTCACTGTAGCGTACGATGATAATGGAAGGATACACATACTCATTGTCACAGGCACATTTGTATGTACACAATCCATGAGAATTCTCATGGTGTCCAACTACTAGAACCAAAATGGAAAATGGCCATATCAAAGAATTAAGTTTGTGAAGCAGGGTACACTGCATATCATACAAATATGTATACACTGATTCATTTTTAGTATCATTTAATGCAGTAACAAAAAGATTGAAAACAAATCTTAATAAAGACTAATTCTATGGATTATTGTACATTTATATGACATTAGTCTATAGATAAAAACACATAAGAACTTGATTCATTGATCTGGAGCAATATTTGAGGGTTTGTCTGAGAGTTAAGCAACAAAGCAATATACAGTACATACTATATAAAACAGGGAAGAGTAAACATAAACATACCCTCACATCAAATATTTGCATCTGTCTGTCTGAAACAATATATGAAAATTGATGACATTCATTCTCTCTGGGGAGAAGATTAGATGCCTGAGGGATAAGGTGTAAGGGAGAATTGTTATATCTCCTGTTCATTGTTCTTTGTGAATTTTGAATGATAGGAATATATTTACTCCTCTAAAAGAAACTATTTTCAAAACAAGAAGATTGAAAAGGGTAAAATTAAACAAGAGAAAAGCATTGGCAACATGCCAGACATAAAATATCAACATTCCTAAGATATAAAGGTACTTTGCTAATTAATTGAATAATGAAGCAGCCAAAAGGGTGTGAAGGAGATAAGGGGGGAGGGTTTCTTTGCATTTTAAGCCAATGCTGAACATTCACTAACATAAAATAAGACAATTATCTCTGTACCTATGAAGCATATAGGAGACTCAAAAGTGTAAATATAAGTAAGTTATGCATAGTAGTATGTTAGAGGGTGATAAGGGCTATGAAAAACAGAGATTAGAGATTAAGAGAGATAGAAGTGCTGGAACTATTGAGGGGAACAGATTGCAATTTTGAAATAAGTCTGGTGACAGGCCTGGTAAGAGGCAGTGACACTGAAGTAAAGTCATGAAGTGGGTTGAGAAAGCTCGTCATGCAGATTTTGGGGTAAATCCCTCCGCCGAGTGTTTACTTAGCTGAGAGTGTGCCTGCCAAGGGACAGTGTGGCAGGAACTGAGTGACAGCTCAGCAAAGTACTAGAAAGTAAGGCCAAGGACATAAGCACGAGGGATGGCAGAGATTTTGATTTGTTTAGCGTGGAGATGCTAGAAATTGCATCCTGGTCTCCGTCTATGCTGGGCAAGGGCTCTCTATCATTGAGTTACCCACCACCTCAGTAGCAGGATATTTAGAGCCTTGTAGCCATCCACAGTTGGAATGAGCAGTGACAAGACCTGACTTATGTTGTAGCAAGATCAGTCTGGCAATTGCTGTGTTTAAGATAGATCAGGGTGCAGAAGTGGGAAAACACAAGAAAAGACTTGCCCTTTAGGAGGTTATTAGTAACACAGATGAGACAATGGTGACATGAATCAGGGAGTAAAGGGACTGAGAAATAGCCACTAATGTATCTTAAAGGTAACATCAAAAGCATCTGCTGACAGATTTCATGTGACACGTGAGAATAAGATGGCAAGAACAGTCTGTGTGCTGATTTGCATTGAGTGACTAGGGGGTTGGAATTACCTTCCACATTAGCGGGCAAGACCTTGATGAAGCAGGCTTTTGCATATGTTCAGGTTTGAGCATGTTGGTGCTTTTGGGTGGAGATTTTGTAGAGGTAGTAGGTTCTGTGGGTTTGGAGTTCAGAAATGAGATCTGGGTTGGAATTACATATTTGTGAGTCATCAGAGTAAGAATGAATGTGATAAGACTGATCCCTTGTATCTGCCAACATCACAATGTCAGAAGAGGGAAAACCAACAAAGGGTACTGATACAAGGCCTATGAGATCAGAAGACATCCAAGAATGGTGTCCTTTAGAGCAAGTGAAAAGGGAGCTGTCAGCAGTACCGGCAGAGGATGGGGTGACCCACTGAATAGATGATGGGTTTAAATCAGATCAAAGGAACTGATG